CAATGACGGACAAATCTGAAAGCAGTCCGTCATTTTGACAGATTAGAACAAACTCGGAAAACAGCGCCAAAGTTTCCCCTCAGCGAGGCTCCGGTGTTATGCCGTGTTATGCATGCCCTCCAAAAAGGAAATCATACCGATTCCAAACCTAACTGTGCCGTACAAATCATTGAAATGTCTGAGTTTTGGCTTTACGCTGTGCACGCTCCCGTGCTCCCCCCCCCCCCAGTCAGAGTTGTGTAAAGGCCGACGGGTAATTCTGGATTTTGACGGAAGTTTTACGATCCTGTCCGTCAAAATGACGGACAGCGAAAAATTCTAGCGCAACCTCTGGGCAGCACATATCACTGGGTTTGCTCTGCATGATTGTCTTACCAGTGAGCAAATGTCGAGCCACCAGCCACAAATCAGCGGGAACAAGCCTATCTCCATGACAACCAGCAAGGAAACCTGCAACATGTAACAAAAAACTAAAGCAATTAATTTTCTGTTTTCATGATTTGGTCGTGTAATCATAATTTACCTAATTATGTTTTTTGCCTGAAAGCTTTCCAAATTTGATTAAAAAAAAGAAGATGTTTGTAAACATCCCAATCTTGAATCTTTAATTTACCTTGACGACGATGTAGAAGACACCCACGAGACGTCTGCATCGCTGGAACCTTACTAATGAAGCAAACGCCTGAAGAGGGCGAGTTAAGGACTAACACCACCATCTTAAGTTAATAGCATTTAGTTTATATATCATTCTAATAAGTAAGTATTAATATACAAACTCCTGGAGACAAAACAGACACCTGACATTAGCTGTTGGCTTCCTGTATGGCAACACTCACATTAGAAAGTAGATCAAATAAAGAAATATTGCACTAAAATCAAACAACAGTTTACCGATCATACAGTACCTAAAGTGTCTGAGGAATACTTTTGGGTCATTTCATGAAAAAAAGTTATTGTTGTGTTTGAAGAGGATACATGGAAGAGTATGAGATTTCCAGCCAGGAGGATGTACCCCAGTATGGTGGTGACGAGTCCATCGAAGTGTGAAGCTTTGATCTGGAACCATATATCATCATTTAAAAAAAAATGTCATCACTGCATAGAAAACCTAGTTTTCTAGTAGATTCATTTGAAAAATATAAATACCTCCCCAGATGCACTTACATAATCTTCAAAGCCCAGTCCAACCACGGAGAAATGGCCAATGTGATACGGGCAAAAAAGCTAGAGGAAAATACGAAGGCTTTGTTAGGATCTGTGGTTTAGTGGAGACAATAAATCATATTTATTTCTTTATAAATACATTTAAGAACGGTACAACATTAATATAATGAATCAGAATGAGAGCCATTTGTTATCCCTGTTGAAATTGGGATTTGTGAAAGTATAGGTATAACAAAGTCTCAACCAAAGACGAGGATGACGAGGGTGTTGAGAGACACCACCCAGAACACATGCTCCTACAGGAGAACACACACACAAGCGGTCTCAGTCAATGTTAAACAATTCAAACACACAATGAAACCTGTGTATATCAAATATAATTCCATTGAGGTTATTGAAAGGAATTCCAGTATACAGTAGGGATGCATACCGGTATCCGGTATTACCGAAATACCGGTTACTGGTGGCTGCGGTATACCGTACCGAAATCAGATCCGGTTTTCGATACTTTTATTAAAAAAAAAGTTATTTTTTTAATTAATTTTAAAAGTGAGTCCGTGGCCGTGATGGCGGTGTTATAAATTAAGATTGCATAATCGTTTTTCTTCATATTTTATGTATTTTTCATTGTTTGTTCAAGACTAGAAAGGTAAAAAGTCCCACACCAGTGAAGGTAAATGTTGATTTTAAAGATGAGATTTGATTGTTTGTGCAATTGCCGAGATCTCATGACCTTTATTCTATTATTTATTTTGTTCTCTAGTCGAATCTCAGGTTAACATTAATTATAACGGTGCTATAACGGTCTGTTTGCATTGACAAGATGTGCTATTCACGCGGCACACCTGATGGCGGATGTTATAAAAGATATTCCATAATCGGTTTCTTCATATTTTTTATGTATTTTTCATTGTTTGTTCAGTACTAAAAGGGTCCAAGAAGTCCCACAATTGAATTTAATATTCATTTGACATGTTAACTATATCGTAAAGCGCTTCATGGGAGTAATTGTGGGATGATACATTTTCAAAGTATCAAGATATGTATCGGTTGAGTATCGGTATCGTTCAGTGGTATCGGTATCGTAAAAAAGTCAACGATATGCATCCCTAGACTATACAGTAATTTAAGCTTGGCATTTATGAGGCTAGTGTTACTCTATGGGTTGGTACATGAGTCATTTCAAACTTCTCTGTCAAAATCTGACCCAAAGCATGAATAGAAAGTAGTTTCCTGGAAAAGGAATTCAAACTTCTAGTATGGCAGTTCTTGAAGTATTCATTATAGACACTTTTTTGCATTTCTTTCTATAGAAATATATTTTATTTTTGTGTACTGTATATTTGTATTTCAACATGTATATTTTGTAACTTTTTTTAACGCTGTTTTATTTCTATTTTGGGTTTTACAATTTAGAATTCCATATTTCTGCTCTTTCAATTTCTCTTGTGTGCAATGCCTTGTCTTTTATGCTGCTGTAACGCAAACATTTCTCAATCGATAAAGTACATCTTATCTTAAATCAAATCACGAAAGACAAAATATTGAGGCAGAATTTTATGACTACAATATGTGTAACGAATCAACAATAAAAACTAGCATGTGTTTAAACATTGCCATGGACCTGATGCTAGAAATAACTATAGTAATGCTAATTTGCCTAAACGTGGCAAGTGATGTGGCTACTTCAGGGTGCTACATTTATGGGAAATATTTGAGGTAAAAATTGTACATGAATCTGCCTCTAAGGGTCACTTTAAACTGTGTGTGTAACGGCCCCTACACACGGCGGTTTGCGTTGCCGCTTCAACGCTTCTGCCCATTCACTTTGAATGGGGTGATGTCACGATTCGCCGAACTGCATTGTGGGAGCAAAGCGTAGCTTCTCTAGCGGTGCTCGCTGCAAAAGTAGAGCAATGTTCTACTTTTGCAGCAGCTCGACGGAGGCGTCAGCAATCAAATCCCGCGTATGCAAATCTGCCAGTACAAGCGCTAGCCAATCAAACCGCGTGTATGTTGGGAGAGCCAGACCGCAGTTATTCCCATATGTCAAAAAATGGAGGAGAAAATTATCGTGGCGGTAGGGAATCACCCGGTACTATATGACCAGTCCCTCTTTACATACAGGGATACAAACCGGAGGAGCCAGGCATGGGGGAGGTGGCAGAGGACAGTGGGTGAAACTGGTAGGTTTTCGCCTGTTTGGGGAGTTTATATCCAGTGTACTTCGTTTGAAATGGACAGCTACAAGCAGACAGTATATTTAGCCAGCATGGATGTAGCATGAGCTTGCTTTGTATGTTGGCGGGACATTCATGTGATTGATTGTTGGTCGCGTTGCTCGCGTTGACCTCCCCAAGCTCAAGACACGCCACCGCCAAGCGGCAACGCACGCCGCCGTGTGTAGGCTCCGTAAGAAGAAAGGATGAGCACTTACCAAAAAAACTAAAGAGCCATCCAGCCCAAGCATCTGGAACACAAACAGAAATAATGTCATAATGATGCTTTGTAATACATATACAGTACATAAACATGCTACCAGTGTTGTAGTCAAGTCACCAATTCACGAGTTCAAGTCACTCTCGAGTCACCACTCTTCGAGTCCGAGTCCAAGTCGGAGTCACCAAGGGAGAGTCGTAGTCGAGTCCAAGTCTGAGTCACCCAAGGAGTGTCCGAATCGAGTCCGAGTCATCATTACCTGTGTTCGAGTCCGAGTCCAAGTCCGAGTCACCCAAGGAGTGTCCGAGTCATCATTACCTGTGTTCGAGTCCAATTCCGAGTCACCCAAGGAGTGTCCGAGTCATCATTACCTGTGTTCGAGTCCAATTCCGAGTCACCCAAGGAGTTGTACGAGTCGAGTCCGAGTCATCATTACCTGTGTTCGAGTCCGAGTCCAAGTCCGAGTCACCTAAGAAGAGTCCAAGTCAAGTCCGAGTCACAAGTCTTCATGTATTAATCTTCGTGGATATGTGTTGAAATGTAGCTGCTCCTCTACATTGCTGTTATCCTATCATGTTATACTAATCTGTATATTGAACTGTTTGTGAAGCGAGTTTGGCTACAATTCTTGTAATAGATGCTATACAGATATAAAGCTTAATACTAATATTAATATTATTATATATAAATAAACGATATTTAAAATGAGTTACCTTTTAGAGAAGTGATATTTGTATGCCAATATTTTCCTATGGTAAAGTTTTCGTTTTGCACTTTTATTTTGATAGTAATAAGATCGGGACTCTTATTTTTGAAGGGAACTTTTACCGGTTAAATCCTGATAAAGATTTAGCCCCAGAAAGCACATGGCTACTTAGCATGCAAAATTACATCATTCTGCATGTTAAGTAGCCATGTGCTTTCGTGTTATCTGAATCTTTATTTATTGATTAGATCATGTTTACTCTGATGATAGTGTTCAACACAGCTTATATGTCTGAACTCGATCCTTAGAGTAATGTGTTACCAAAGCCTTCTCTTCAATATTGTTTCCACATAACGAGCATTTTGCTCTGCTCTTTCCAATGTGGAAGCAGAATGTGTGAAAGCATACAGCAGGATGCGGGGGTGTGTCTCCAGACATCTTTAGATTGGAATAGCGGGGCCCAGTACGTGAACTCGCCTCGCAGGTACACACGCCAGGATAGAGGACATCAGACTCCAGAAAAATTTTGCTCTAGTCCGAGTCTAAGTCGGAGCGTCAATGTGCAAGTCGACTCCGAGTCATTGTGGGGGAGGAAATTCACGAGTCCGAGTCCAAGTCAGCGTATGCGATAATTCACGAGTCCGAGTCGCGTCAATCAGTGTGCGAGTCCGAGTCGAGTCACGAGTCCTGAAAATCGGCACTCGGGCCGGCTAAAATGATTGGTCGTGCTTTTTACAGCACTACGGTTTCCACAGATTACATTTTTTTATGTATTTTTTGTCAAAGCACTTAAAATATTCATTGCCATCAGGATGTTAAGAGCATTCCATGGAATATAACAAAAAGTGTATCTCGAGCCGGTTTCTCAAACTTACCTACCCCACCTTTAACTGCTCGAGATGTATATGTCCTGTCACAGAACGTTTTTTTTTATTACCCTAAAATAATTGTGCATAATAAAAGTGTGTGTGGTCCTGCATCTAGTATAAATTATTCAGTGTGTACATTCTTACGGTTTAAAATATAAAAACCTGTCTTTCAGGCTGTGGTGCCTTACGCTATTTAACTATATTTATTACAGTATCCTTAAAGATGTTTTGTTTTATATTAGATTTTTTGTTTATATGGAGATTCTTTGTTTTATATTTTATGTATGCACCATGCGTCAAATTCCTCGTATGTGTGAACCTACCTGGCAATAAACCCGTTTCTGATTCTGATTCTTTTAATATCATTTAGGATTTGAAATTCCTGTAGTGTGCACCAGGCATTATACTTTGCTTTTGTAGTTTTGCTACAATACACTATTTTTTGGGAGGGTGGCTGGAGACATACACTATGGACAAATAATAGTCTCCCACCCTCTCCCAGGTCAGCTCCTCTGCTGCGCGGTCCCACTCCAGGGCATTCCAGTTCAAATCTTCTGCGAAAGATAAATCAGAAACAAATGAAACAGTAAGCAACACCTGTGATGTGCAGTTAAAACAGGTCTGTCAAAAACACTGGTTCCGACATAGTTTACATGTACTCAATCTTAAAACCATTGTTTAGAGGCATTTATCTATTTAAACTGGCCATATAGCTGCATAATATTTCATAAGTTTTACATCCTCTGGGCCTAGTCTATGTTTTTACATCCACACCGACCTTGTCCTCCGTTATTGGCATCAGCAGCGTTCTCCTCCCTGCCTTCCTCATCGTCCTCCTCTTCGTCTTCCTCCCCATCATCGTCCTCATCCTCGTCGTCAAGTTCGGCTTCATCTCTGCCAGCTTCAGGTGGGTCGGCGGGAGGCAGCCCGTCTGGGGCGGGGTTTGCAGGGGCCGGGGCTTCTGCGGCAGCCTCTGCGTTGACGCCAGCGTTAGCACCAGGAACCTGAAGAATCATGAGATAACAAACAACATTTTTGCTGAGAGGCTGAGGTTGGCTTTATCTGACGCGATCAAATAAGGTTAATAACTAACTCAAACTGACTTATTAAATACAGAAATGAAACTTTCTTTGCCATTGCGTGCATCAGCAGTAAATACTAATTATATTAATCTCAATCACAATTTTGTTTTCTCACAAAAAATTCTTCATTAATTTCCGACAAAGCAAATAGTGCCAGTGTTTCCCCAAACCATTGTCTTGGGGGGGCGCTGCGCCACCCTAACGGAGCCCTGCGCCCCCCCTGAAATTCAAGGTGTTTAATTAATTTTTACTGAAATAATCTATCTACGGTCACTTTTCACATTGAACATGTGCTCTTTTATTAAATAAACTAAACACTTATGTTATTTATCCAATTGATGTGCATGTTTCAGTGTCCACACAACACACCACACACACACACACACACACAACACCACACACACACACACACACACACACACACCACACACACACACACACACACACACACACACACACACACACACACCACACACACACCCACACACACACACACACACACACACACACACACACACACACACACACACACACACACACACACACACACACACACACACACACAACACACACACACACACACACACCACACACACACAACACACACACACACTACACACACACACACACACACACCACACACACACCACACACACACACACACACACACACACACCACACACAACACCACACACACACACACACACACACACACACACACACAATATAGTAATGATTACCATTTTGTCAATTATTGGGCAACTGAACTCACCTCATTAGCTGCTGCAGGGCCGTTCTGCTGGTTAGGAACCAGAGGCGGTTGATTCTGCTCTAACCACTGAGGAGCGCCACCGTGGACTATTTGCTCTCTAAGCCACACCCAGGCTGATGAAGGCGCACAGCGTGCAAGTGACCACAAAACAGCCCTGGAGGCAGTCAGCAAGCAGGTTTTGCCTGCGAGGAAGAGAAGAAACATTATGATTTGACCAGTGATATCAAAACTATTTAACTATTTAATTTGTTAGAGTTGAACAAAATATAATATGGGGGATTGAGTATAGGGAAACTAAGGAAACACCAATCAAATCTTAATCTTCTTGATGGAACTCCAGTGTACAAAATATATGGAGACTTACAACATACAGAATACAGTTTTAGAGAGAAGGGGAAAGAAAACGCAAACTTACGTTGAAAGCATATCTAATGGCAGCGTAAGGAGAGAGCTCACAGAGCCGGTAAATAAACACTTGTAGATACGACCTGTATAAAAAACAACAATCAGAAAAGTATTTCTTACAGTGACATCTACTGTAAAAACTTAAAACTATGATCCAAATTCTCAAATGTTATTGGAATTATCTGTTTGTTTGACACTGAATAAACCTAAAAAACACAACACAAACAACAAAAATGATTCCATTGTTTTTACAATGGACTGATGTGACTTACATGCTGTCAGAGGCACCACCCCTAGCCAGGCAAAGGCCACCAGTGTATAATGGAACCAGTATCTGATGGCTGTTCCAGATACTGGTGACCAGCCCTGCAAAGATGTCCTGGACAGGCAAGCGGGATGGCATGTCTGGAGAGTAAACTGGAGAAAGAGAACAGGAGAGGTAAAAGACAGATGGTGGAAGTGAGGGGGGAAAATCGTCATAAGGTCAAAACCACAAGTTAATACATTTTTTGTGTAATGATCCAATTCACCACCAAACAACTTACTTGGTGTAAATGCAAACCTGGTTTGCATAATTCACAGTATTCTTTTCTGCTGTGTTCAACCATGCAGTAAGCTGTGAAAAGAAGGAGACATAGTGAGTTAACTCGCTTAATCCTATAGAACAAGAGTTTTGATCACTGCATTAAAGTCCAACAACTTTTTCATGTTCTTGTGAATATGGTAGTTAATATTGTTTTCAGTTGTGTAACTACTTCTAAATTGTATTCGGGGTACATTCCAGAAGTAGAGTTATGTCTGTGTTTGAGTCCCTGCTTATTTCTAACTTAGAGAATGATTTCCTCATGTTGGAATACACTACAACAACATTTAAACAGATTGACAGCTTGGAAATCTAAACAGATAGCAACCCTACCTTAAAAAAGGTATTTTAGGCAGAGAAAAGGCAAAGGAAAATAAACAAACAATACACTTTTAAATGTAACTTGGGTCACTGGACGTACCATTCTTGATGGATAAACTTGATGCTGCCAGTACAGACACAGGGGTGGAAGAGGGGCTTGTCCTGACTACCCTCCGACCTACATACCCGACAGATGTCCGCTGTAGGTACACAACATCATAACATGAAATCATACTCCTGAAATATTTCATTTCATTAACTTGGCATGTTGCATTTTTTATCTACAGATCAAAATGTAAAGTTTTTACAGTCATAGGCACATAGCTACAGTGTAGTTGTAATGCCAATCTTAAGTCCCCAGGCTAACAGTGCCATATACAATATACTTAGAACAAAGAAATAAGTAAAATAGTACAATGATAAAGTGCAAGTGATACCATAGTGCAAGTAGATGCAGTAGTAATTGCCCTTAAGCTAAACTCATGACACACCTTTAATGCCAAAAGTTGAAAATAATTTTAAGACCATGCAAGCTTTCTGCATAAACTTTTCTCTCCCAATGGTTTCAGGAGTTGCAACTACAACATTTGTGATAGCATTTGTAGGTCAATGACAGTAGGGGCAAACTGCAATCCTTGGGTTACCTGTGTCACTGGATGACCAAAATAAAATGACTATAATTAGCCCAGGGTAAAGAGCATAAGACATGTGGGGATGCCATGAGTATGTTTTGACTGACTTATTAAGCTATTACTCATATTAACTAGTGCACTATATCACAAAGTGTGAGCGCAGAAACGAATGGCTGTAATGCATTTAAAGCATAAATAGTGCTCAGAGTAAATGTGTTGTTCAAACGTACCAGAATGACAATAGTAAGATTACAACTGTAGGTTTCAAATGTCAATTACATTGTATTCTACATTGTAACACGAGCATTGGTCAACGTGGCAGGTTAACCCAGTGTGTGAATGTAACGTAAGCTAGGTTAGTTATGATACTGTACGTAATAACGGTTGTTTTAAAACTATACTAATGTGTTGCCCGACGTTTTAAGCTATTAATTACTTGCAAAACTGCTGTCTTCTAAGATGTCACACAATATATTTGTGGACAATACAACGTAAGTTAAAGTGAACGCAAACAGAAACCTAACGTTGCTGACTTTACAACAGCTGATAGCTAACGGGTGTAAGTTGAAGCTAGTTAGCTGGCTAGCTTATGCTAATTGGCTAGCGGTTTCTAGAATTCTAGTGAACCTCGGTCAAAGTGAAAGGAAATGTAGGCGCATGCATTCCCACTGGCAGCAGTGACATGGTGGTTTGAGTGTGATACAGACAATGTTAGTATATTTATTCAATAGTTAAAGCGTACAAGTTAATCAAGTTTTAACATAGCTACCTTCCTCAGCGGTGTCCATCTTGACTGGCTAATAAGGCAGCCCTGCTCCACAAGTCAGGCCAGTCAGTCAGTAAAAAGAAAGCGACAACCGCCTGCTATCTTCATGTAAACATCTTAAGTTATTGTTCAGCTCAAGCTCCGAAGGTCTCGACAAGACCATACGTTTCGTAATTAAATAAAGCCTTTTCTCTTCATAGTACTTCAGCTAGCGGTCAGGACATGTCAACTCCACATCGTGCTGTTATGTGGTGTTTGCACCATTAGGTGGCAGTCAAACGCAGTCCACCAGCTTGGTAATGACCATAGACTGTATATTACATCACTTTATTTCATAAATAAACATGTATAAAAATATGACACAGTTCAAGAGGTTTTCTGGTTATAATGCAAAAATAATGTTTGTACAATACAAACAAAGTTCAACCAGACAGGGTTGCTTTTATTTTCAATCCACTTGGCAATATTAGATATTTGTCTTTCTCTAAAGGAATTACACTTTCTATAAATAATCAACGTTATGCAATTAAACATTGCAAATAACTTGTACTTTCTCATTAATCATAGTTTATGTTATCTTTAATCCAGCACGTATCAAACATTAAAAGCCCAGTTGATCATTCACCCCAAAAGTGAACATGGGAGTAAATAATCCTGTTATAACTGTAAATAAGATAATAAATACTTTATTGATCCCAATTTGGGAAATCTTTGCATAGACAACTGACCTTGAGTAAGTGTAACCACTCACCAAGGGCAGTGTCAACCAGTCTATTTCCTACTTTGCCCAATATCGTACTCGGACATGTGGTGTAGAGACATAACACTTTGTAGCACTTTCTTTTAATCAGTCCTTCCCAGCATCTTCAGGCCGACCCCACAGTAGAATTGCGTGGATTAAAAAAAAAAAAAAAGAGATTGTCCCAGTGTTGCAGAGCATGATGACATTTTTCAACAAGATAAGAGTTACATTTATGTGGTGAATCTGGTTTATCTTTGGGTTCAGGTGTCGTTTCCCTTGTCATGCCATTTTGCAAGTGTGTTTTAAATGTCTTGGCATCGTACACCCAAACAGTGTCTATGCCCTCTCCGGCGGTGCATTCAGGGACCCAAGTAGGAAAGGGAAAGCGGCATGCCACCACCTTGGCTGTACTCGGTAACTCGCTTGCAAGCTTCACCTCCAGCTGGTCCATCTACAGATACAGACAGCAACAATTAAAATATCAAGTATAAGAATATCAAGAGTCATACAGGGATTTGAAATGTTTATTTGTCAACTCAAATGCAAAGCTTATAGGCGGTAGAGTTATAACTTGGGGTCTTGATAACATTAAAGTAGGGGGAAAATGGGGACTCACCATTTGAGGGACTCCAAATATAACAACATTGGAGTACTGAGCAAAACTGACCTAGAAAAAGAAAGAATGATGCAGTCAAAATAAATGAATTGTGGTGAGTCACAACATAGTATATTTAAATCATGTCTCACTGACCTTCCATAAGTCAGAGATGTGGAAGGAGGTGGAGCGGTGGACTCCCTCTCTAAAGGCCTTGTAGCGAGAATACCCACACCAGCCAGGGGTCAGCTCAAAGCCTGACGCCTTAAAGCCATGCTTAGCTGCTGCTATCACCTGCAAGAGGAAGGAGGGTGAAGGGGAATTCAATACATCACTAACAATATACAGCAACTGCAGCATCAGAAGGATGTAAAGCAAGTATGGTATTCATTTTGAGAGTATTATCTGATGTATCTTGAATTTGCAAGAGGTGGATTTTTTTTGTTATATATATTAAGATTTCACTGGTTTTTAATGTGAAAACAACTAAACATAAACCAGAAAATGTAAGCTTAATATGAACTTTAGGAGAGATATAAATATGTTTAATAGACATATTTTAGGCTAAAATGGCTCTGGAATAAGGAGATTCCTGCTTTTGTTTGTTTAAACATAGTTTTTAAATCATATTAAAATGAATAACATTTGGATTTTGGCCTGACAAAACAAGACATTTAACTACACCAACTTGGATGGACCTTTGTTATTTATACTTTTAATAATTGTCTTGCTTTTATTTGCAGTTGTTTTGCTTCTTTTTGTAGTCTTTATGGCATATGTTCCTGGTTGGTATTGTGGGAGTTACACTTTGTAGGTTATTGCTGGTGAAAATGGGGAGATATTCTTCAGCAGTCATCCATGCTGACTAAATCTCACGTTGCCACAGGTTACCACAGATTAAGACAACAAAGCACTTACTATCCTTCCATCTCCACTCCCTATGTCCACCAGGCGACCTGTTCTGGCTCGCAGCACCCTGAGGACATTCTCCACCTGAGCCGTGGTGGCAGGGACGAACGGGAGGCAGACTTTCCTCAGGGCAGGGGCGACAAACGGAGTCGCTACTGCATACAGGGCGACCAGTGACCCTCCTAACAACCCAGTGACGACGAGACCAAGGTTACTCCTGCTCTTTTTCTCCGTTACCTGTCCTGCTGCTACTGAGTCCAAAAAAAGCTCCTCTTGTGACATGTTGCCAGTTTATTGGAAACGCAGTACGTTTAAATCCGTAACTTTAGCCGCACTTGGACTGTATGAATGACAGCTCGGATTCGCCTTAATGTTAGCTGACCATGCTAGCTACCTAACATACATGTCATATATAAAATATATAATTTGTTGTGTCAAAAGCAAAAAACAAATGATTATTGGCCAAAGAATAAGCTAAAGAGAAAGTCCAACAAGTCTTAAAAGATGACCTGTGCGTCGCTCTAATGAGTCCGATAGAAAGACAAAGATAATCGGACGAAGGTTCCTTTCTGCTTTCGTTCCCTGGTAAGTGCATACATACAAATAATTGCAAATAAATGCATTAAATGACAATGCCATGGTGCCATGCAGTGTAAAGGAAAAAGCTGATGTTTAATTAAATAAATAAATAGAGACAGCCATTTAACCAACATGGATAATTCATCCAGAAATAAAACGGAATTACATTTTGAAAAACAAATACACATGAATGACATCATAAATACTCACAAACAAACACAAATAAATGGCTGACAAATGAATGAATGTATGACATATCAATTTCCACAGGAGCGTTTCTAGAACACTGTGTATATTGGATTTGCAAAACAATATTTTGCAACAGGTTTCCTTTGAGTGTAGACTTCACAGTAGCCTAATGACTAGATAGAATGTTTCCATGAATTGTTGTCCCTGATCATTACAGACTTTTCCTATATGGTTCTAAACATGTTCTTAATTTGGTGGTGCAATTATGTCATCCATGCAAAAAAATGTTCTCATATACAATGCAGTCATTCATATATCCTATTCCAGACTTGAAACAAGGAACACATAATGAAAAAAAGTGAAGTAGTATTTCTATTATAGTACTAGTGTGTGTTTCACAAACTTAAGTCCACTCTATTCATGTTGCAAACTATGTAAAACTTCCGGTTATTCCACTAGAGGACCATAATGCATTATAAGCACAGCATATACAATAATAATAATAAATACTATACATTACCCTTGCAAACAATGGTCAGTGATTGACCATGAAGTATTATAATATTTTGTTAATTATAACATGCTTTATAATATGTTTTGATAACTGTTATAAATAAATAAATATATATATAGAGCAATAGGCAGACAATAAAACATAATAACTATGTTTATAATGCATTATAGACATCTGCATCTTATGTGCTACCGCACTTCCATTTAATTTATTTTTATTTTATTTTATTAGGATCCCCATTAGCTGGTGCATAACAACAGCTAATCTTCCTGGGGTCCACAAATAACATGACATTCGACAGTACATTACAAGACAAGGATACAAATCGTGTACGGCGTCAATTTTCCTTCAAACAGTGACTTTCATATCAACCATCACATACAGCTTATTTTCTGATTCCCCATTTCCTTGGAAAGAAAAATTTAAAAACATTTTTAAAAAAAAGAAGAAAAGAATAATAATAATAGTGATTTTACAAATGTCTCCCTTCGCTTCTTTTAGAGTAAAAACAAACTAAACAAATACAATCCTCATCATAACTGTGAAAGGCTGTGTGTGTGTCTATGTTAGCGAAAGTACCATATTCCTGCATGTGTTTAAAAAACCTATATGAATCGGTGTGCTGCTGTATGCTTACCATAACCTGCCGCTTGTTAATTTACAATCTTTATGGAATCTTTCAATTTGAGGTATGAAAGCCAATAACATTAACAGAAGCTGTGAAGAGGAGCATTAGGTTCTATAAATAAAACTGAAATGCAATTAAATAAAACAAATGTTCCCATCACCATATTACAAATAAAGGTGGCGGGTTCTTTTTTTCCTTTTTTCTTACATTAGAAGTCATTAGACAGTGTACGGTGGACGGTATGGTCCTGCCCTGAAGTGCCATGGTGCATATGATGGTGATACATGCGTTGCTGGCTGGTGGTGGGACCATCATCCATCATAAAGTCCTCGTCCTCTTCTGCCCTGTACCCCTCTGCCCCATCCTGAGAGTAGCTATGCTTCATCATCAGGATGCTCCTGTGTCCTGCGGGTGTGGTATGTTGGGAGAGGTGCGGTGACTGTTGGCTGCCCATCCCTGGAGGCAGTGGTGGTGGCACGAGGCCCCCCCCATCAGCCACTATGGTTGCGTCCCTCATGCTCAGGTTGCTGCGACTACCGTGGACACTGCCATGCATGCTCCCCGGGAAAGAGCCACAATGGTGGTCACGGATGCATTTGGAGGAGGAGCGTCGGAGCTTGTGAAATTTCTCATAGTCCTCGGCCATGGCGGCATCGTTCAGGTCGCCGGAGGGGGTGCGGCGCAGAGTGCAGAGCTCGTAATGAGGAGGCTCAAAACCAGGGTGGAGGAGGGCAGGGTCAAAGTCATCTCTGTTAAGATAGTTAAAGGAAAGAACACACATACACACACACATACACAAGTTAATAGAGTTAATGTTCAGAAAAGCATTACAAACTGATAGTATTTCTCAAAACAGAACAGCAACAGAAATCTGAATATTAAAGCCAGGTTCAAAATGTTGGCTTCTTTTTAAGGGTCAAAGTGCTTTTCTACATAAATAAAAATGTAGGCCACGAATGATTTATCAACAAACCCCTCTGTAAAAATCATTAGAATAGAGATACCTATAAAAACAATCGGTCATAAATATTGAATTTTGAAATAAGATATATGAAAATGTAACCTGCGAATTATGTATTTCTTGCGAGGTTGTTTGACCTGGATGATGACAGAGATGATGAGCAGGATAAGAACCAGGCCACAGGTGACGCCGATAATAGCCATGTTAGTGCCATCCAGTGTGTCCAGAATACTGGCCTGCCTTTTCTCTAGTTAGGAAAATAACATACAAAATAATGACTTTATGTTCAGCTAGAGCCAACATATGCTGTATGGCAGCCATTGTGTCAGGGTACCTTTGCAGTGATTCTCGTCCCATGGGAAAACACAGTTCTGGATACCGTTGCAGACCAGCGTTTGGTTGATGCACATGTTGCTATGGCAAAAGAAAGTTTCTCCTTCACATGGAGCTGAAAAACAGAGGCAGGAGTCATGCTATGGCGCACAGAATATTGAAACAGTCATTTTAAAATATAGATAATTATATTAAATGCTTGGTCACTTGGGGGAAGGACAACAAGCTAAAAGACAACCTATTATAACCATTTACTGAACAATTGCCTATTGATTTAAACAAATTGTAAAAACTGAGCCACATTAATTTGGTTTGGTTAATAAATGAATGCTTGGATCCCTATTTTTCTCGATTCAATAGGCCTTGATCAGATTTTTTTATTCATCCTATTTCATCATTTGTCTTGGAGTAAACATTTATCTTTCAATGTGGGCAAGTGAACATGTATTTAAGTATGGCATTTACATATATTCATATTTGTGATTTGGGCTAAAACACCTTTTCAATAAATTACAAGAATATTCCGGGGTTGCGATGTTTACTGAATTGGAAGATGGAATCGTTCATCGGGCAACCCAACCCCCAAATAATATTGAGATAAGTAACCAAAAACGCCACTGGAGAAGCTACAATTAGATTTTTGTGACCATAGTCAAGCATAGCCGGTGCACCGGTAAAAGAGAGCTTGCAGGTATATAGATTCACTCACGCTCATGGAAAGTTGTAAAGAGGATCCTGAATTTGCTCTTCCTGCTACCCTCATCTGCCCACAGCCTCACCACGCCCACAGAAGACACCAGCATGACATCGTTGGCCACCGTGGAGCAGAACTTATTCTTCAGGTGCTCAACCGAACTGCTGCCGTCGTAGATGGCAACGAAGTTACGCTTGCACTCGTTCGAGTTGTGCATCTCATATTCCAGGAAACGCAAGTAGATCTGTGGGTAAAGAGCTTTGATGTCAGTTACTGCTCCTGTTACCTACAGGTTCTAATAATTTTTTTAAGAAACGTTTTAATCTGATGTTCAAAGAACCTTTTGAGGATGTTTATTATTTCAAATAATGTTTAAGGTTAACTAATTATCATTAAAAGAACGTATTATAAAAAACTTTCTGTCATCTCAGGCCTCAATAACATCTTCAAAGGATGTTTTTTGGACGTTGTTGGGGTAACATATTATAGATGTTCTTTTATAAAACGTTCCCTCAATGTTACATGATAACAAAAGAAGAACATTTTCAAAGCAACATTCTGAAAATGTTTTCAGGAGGTTATTCTTTTTTTATAAAACGTTCCTGTGATGGCAAATATTAACACGGTCATGGTCAACGTCAGATTTATTTGTAGAGCGCTTTAAAAAACAAACTTGTTGCATTTGTTTGAAAGGATGTTTTAAAAAATCTAATGTCACCATAATTTCCTTTTGAAAAAAACAAACATGCACGTAATTCATGATAAGCTGTAAGCAGATATTGCATGTTTGCGGCGGCATGTGTGAGTTCCCAGCTAGACTTTTTTGGTTCTCAAAAAATTCTGAGAATGTTACCATTCATTGTTCTAGGAATGTTTTCAGCGGGAAATTTTTGTTTGGTTCCCAGAATGTTCTTCTGAAAGGTAGGATAACGTTCTTTAAAAACATTCTTAACATTTTTGGTGATAACTTTCTTAAGATGTATGAGCGCATTGAGACAATGAATAGGACGTATAAAAACGAATTTGCATGCCAATATTCACTCACATGCACTTATAATCACACTAAAGGTATGTAGGCCCACAGTATTCATAATGTCATATGCGTAAAATATCAGAAAATAATCACACTTTTTTTCTGACTATAAAGGTTGTGTCTCGTATGTAGGTTCTAACTGTTAGATAAGCTATCTGGCCGTGTGTGGTTTGTGAGGGCTGCGTATAAACAGTGTCCGCTGTTTATGCATAGTGGAGAAAAATCGTTATTGCCCCCTTTAGATTTGAGACCGACAGACATAGAAGACCGGACCGACTGTTACTGCCCGTCCCTGAAACCCCTGTTAGTGTTTGTATGTGTTTGTTTCTACTGTGTGTCTCTCTCTCCCCCCTATTCTAACTTGCAGCTGAACATATTTTAAGAACAGTCCGGCATAATGTTCTAACAATGTTAACAAAAACAGAAGAAGGTTATCACCGAATATTTTAAGAATGTTTTTAGAGAACGTTATCCTACCTTTCAGAAGAAAGAAGAAGAACATTTCCCGCTGAAAACATTCCTAGAACAATGAATGTTACCATTGTCAGAATGTTTTTAGAACCAAACATTTCTAGCTGGGTTATCCCTCATAATTTGTTTTTCCACATTTCTAGCAAAAGCTTTGATGATGGACTGATTTTAAAGAAATATAAGACATTTTAACAACGGCCAATCGACATTTACTCTATTACGTTCATCTAGTGACACCAACATTACCTTGGTCAAATCCTTCGCTTCGTGGTTTATGCTAACACTTACACAAATAAAAACTAGGTTAAGGGCTAAAACTAAATGGAAAAGTTAAATGTTATAAACGAATAAGGGTTATCAAGAAATGATATGTTCCAGCAACACCATCACCAGCACATAGCAAGACCAAAACAGTTCAAGACAGATACGGACCCTAGCTCTTGGTGGAGCCTTGATGAACCACCTGCAGTCTACAGCCTCAGTCTGCAGCGCTCGGCTCTCCCCGGCTATCTGGCCTGATTCTACAAAGCCTTCTGGACCGCTCAGCTCAAACTCACAAACTGTGGAATACAATATTTAAAGTAATGTTAGTTTTAAGGCCTCAAAAATAAGGACTCAATCACAAAAAAATTATGCATTTGTATGAACTTATAGTAAGCAGTATCTATTAAAGCTCTAATTATATAGTGACTTAATAATACAAGTAAAATCCTTACATGGCAGAGCTGGCAGTTCCCCAGCTCCAGTGAACTCTGGATCTAAAAGCAGAAGATAAACGTGTTAGAAATAAAGGAATATTTGGGACATTAATGGAAGTCTTTGAACAGTTAGGGGCAACCTTTAGAAAAAGAGTTGCATGGAAAAAATTGAAACAATTTCACACATTACCTCAAAATGCTTTTTTGATGTATAACGTAATGTCCCAAATCAAACGTATTACTAATTTATTGTTGTTTTAATTTTTAAACTACACATTGGAGAAACGTTTCATTCAATTAATAATGTATATTTTATCCACATTCGTAGTACAATTAAACCTGATTGAGAATTACCATGTAGATATAATCCATTTATTCCATTTGTTATCTCAAATTTGTATTTGCAATATGTGCCATGCAACGAATAGTATCTAAGAATAGACCAAAAAAAAAGAATACACAAAACAAAAACTGATAAATATAAAAGACATATTGCAGAACAAAATAAAAACATCTGGCCAAGCTTTACATAATCTATGTACCAGTACATTCCCTCTGCCCTCATTTAAACTCCCCCGATGCCCTTCTTTGAAAAGAAAAACACACACTTGACCTCGGACAGGCAAGAGAAATTGTTTTAAACCTTTGTGCTGATTAATGTACTTGCTAGGTGGATTATAAACCTTGATATACAGGTTTAGTCCAGGACAGATTAGGCCCTGCCAGCAGTGACAACCTGGTAAAAATAAAATTCTACTCTCTTTATTTTGTTTTCTAAATTATTCTGGAAGTACAGTTTGAATACACCTAAAAATAGTCAATAATATGACATATACAATTGGAACAAAAACAATTGTTTTAAAGGATGCAGCAGGGCTGGAAGAAGAATATGTATTGTTGTATGTGATATTTTGTCATATCTTGAATTGTTTTCAATAGTAACTAAGCAAATGTGTCAGTCAGTAGGTATAATCTAAGAAAGAAAACAGGTGATGGAGTCCACTGAGGCTCACATCAAGGACTTTTATTAATCCCCACATGTTTTTTACCCCTGACTCTGCTCCAGGCTTGTCCAGATTATTCCCATTCATGCCTCTGTGTGCGTGTGCGTGCGTGTGTTAGGGCTGTACCCGAATATTCGACTATTCGTTCGTTGGCCAACTATTCAGGTTTCAATTTCATTATTCGGATATTCGTTTTTTTATTTTTTTCAAAAAAATTAAAAAAAATTCCCTAAATGTATGCCATCAATAAAGGCGAATTGCCATATTCTTATACTATATTTATACTTTTGAATTGCACTGTTAAAATGCGGAAATATATACAATCTCAGCCTGTGACATCGCGTTCACTCACAGTCACGAACGCAAACGGCACGCTTCACCTCGCTTCACCTCGTTTCACACACCTGAACACAAAATGCCGAAGACTTCAGCTGTGTGGGACCATTTTAAAAATTGGACGACGGTAAGAAGAAGGCAGTGTGCCAAATATGCTACAAGAAACTGGCCTACCACGGTGGCACAACAACTCTGAAAAGTCACCGGATGCTGTAAGTACTAGCCTAGCTTAGCTTAGCTGTTGTCAAATTGCCATGATGAAGCTGCTTTATCCGCCGTTTAAACAGTAACGTTACACATGATAAAATCGTGCTCTTACTTTGCTTGGAAAATAGTTGCAAGCAAGCAACCGAATTGTTTTTTATATTAGTTTTTCAATTGTATCCGAATAGTGAAAATAATAGGAGCAATGTGGGAACATCTGGGGCTAAGGCAATTATTGGCATACAGTTCGTTCATTTATTTTTCGTTCTTCATTTATTTAAATACTGTTTACTGTATCAGTAACAAGTATTACACAGTTAGGCCTACTGTTACGGCTATGTTATTAAAAGTATTGTTGTTATAACAGAAATATGTGTTTTGTATCTTCAGGTTGTAAAACGTTATAGACGGAATTTGGAACCAGATTTGGTCCCCGGGCGCTGCACTGCGGCTGGGTTACATGCAGAGGACACATTTAGTTGTAATGTATGCGAGTACTGAGACAATACATAAATATAAATCGTAATAGTATGCTCTTTCTGCGCTTCTGCTTAACAGCGTGTTGTCAGGTGTCTCGGAGCGTATTGTGAAAAAAAGTGGAAAAAAAATGTTTTATTAAAAAAAAAAAAAATCTCTCCGCATCGAATATTCGAATATTCGGTGCTGATTACTACCGAATATCCGGAGCCCGAAAAATGGTATTCGGGACAGCCCTAGTGTGTGTGTGCGTGTGCGTGTGCGTGTGCGTGTGCGTGTGTGTGTGTGTGTGTGTGTGTGTGTGTGTGGTGTGTGTGTGTGTGTGAGTGTGTGTGTGTGTGTGTGTGTGTGTGTGTGTGTGTGTGTGTGTGTGTGTGTGTGTGTGTGTGTGTGTGTGTGTGTGTGTTTGTGTGTGTGTGTGTGTGTGTGTGGTGTGTGTGTGTGGCAATAATGCATTCCCAGAGGATTTATACCCAATATGAGAAAAACATGTACGATCAGATGAAGGCGCAATATAGGATGGTTTGTGTTAATCCTCCCTTAATATAATTCAGCTATAAAGTATGTGGCACAAACCAGAACATTGTGGATTAAAACAACATGTATACTAAACTAACGTGGAATCATATCAAATGGTGTGAACCAAAACCAGACGCCAACAGATGAAACAATTGCAGGCCAAAACAATGAACTGAAAGAAGCTAGCATGCTCCAAACTGCATTTAGATTAAATTAAATGTGTGACTACATTACTACAAAGAAACCTTTCACGGTGATCCATTGTTCGAAACTACTTCACATACAAGGAGGAAAATATTCTGGACAGATATCAAAGATACTCTCTGAAGTTTAGTTTACCTCTCACAACATACATTAATTTACAAAAACTTCACAACATACATTTAAGTTTGGCTTAAATTCTTGTAAACTCACAAAAGTCAGCATAAACAAGAAGAAGCATGCATTAACAATACAGTCTCTGCTAAAAGCAAGACACTGTTTGTGACTGCATTGTGTAACTATAATTTACAGTGCCACTGAAAGGTGATATTTGTACTTCTCTTGTGCACACAATGCAATGCAATGCCCCTTTCAAATACTACAGTCCTAAATAATGTGTGTAAGCATGTGTATATATGGAATGATGTAATTCTCTCCTGCCAGTAATGAGTAGAATCAGATGGGAGATTAGCACATGGCAATGGGGACTCATTACGTAAACGGATAGAAATCAGCTTCTCCTGATCTGCCAATAATGAAACAAATCTTCTTAAAGGGGAAATAGTATTTGCTTAAGATTTTCAGCTTCCGAAAATATAAATACTTATTTATGATTATAATTTTATAAACACTGGAATGTAAGATGACCTGTAAATTGTGTGAAAAGAATGAGGAAAGTGTGTATGATATTTGCCGAACAATAGCACTGAGTCCCAACATGCACAGACAAACAATATCATTACCAAACAACTTAAAAAGGGAGAGTGCATGGAAAGGACACCCTGGCTAACACTGGAAGAGTCCTTGCCGAACAAAAAAGATAACGAATAACGTCTCAAGAAAGAAAATAACAAAACAAACAAAGAAATAAATAAACATACGGGTATAGCAGGATGGACAGAGGGATGCAGATTCATCTTTGCCCCCCCTCCCCATTCCATCAGTGTAGGTGGCCTATAAAATCTGCTGCTAATGAAGCCTCTGCCTTAGACTCCCTTAAGCTGCTACTGCGGCTCAGCACTGACAAGCTGTATTCCCCTGAAGACAAGCTTTCATTATCGTGTGTGTGTGTGTGTGTGTGTGTGTGTGTGTGTGTGTGTGTGTGTGTGTGTGTGTGTGTGTGTGTGTGTGTGTGTGTGTGTGTGTGTGTGAGAGAATAAATGCTCCACTCCTCTTCCCTGATCAGCTGCAGCTGGTGTGCTTGCACTACAAATGGAAATGGAGGAACATCCCCAGCAGCCAACAGACCACTTTTAAAGTTGCAATCCCTACGCACAATTTAAAAAAATTCCAACAACCTTTAATACAATTTAATGATAACAGGCTAAGTGTCCAGTGTCCATCGGTGTCAATGTCTGTTTTCATGGGACTGAAAGGGAAGATCTGTGTCAAAGAGGTTGCAGCCAACAACGTCAAACTTATAGCAGGGTGGTCAATTGGGAGAGCACGCCAAATAAGGAGTGGAAGGCTTAGAGCAGTATTAATACGCAAAACATGAACCCTGCCAGCCAGACAGAGCGCCAGCTGGCATGATATAAAAACAACAATAAAGCAGACAAACAAAATAAATAAAAAAACAGAATAATATAATCAATTATTTTCCACTTTGTTCCCCACTGTGACCTGACTAGGATGTCCTCCCATGAAAAATCATTAATTTGAGAAAATCCTGTTATTCTGCAGATTACCACTGTTGTCCTTCGTAACCATGAAAATGAAGCCCCTTTAAGCCTAACAAAGTAATTATACCCAAACTATGATGTTTTCCAAAAATGCATCCCTGTGAGGGAGGGGCCATTCGGTGTGACTGTTAACCTGGACGGATTGTCTTCCATGCTAGGGGAATCCATTGATGTTGAACATAGACCCGTCTCGTCAACAAGGCTTTTTGGGGGTGATTTTTCGTGGCCATGAACATTCATAGATACGCAACCAATGTTCATTAAACAAAGTTTATCATTTGCTAACTTTCTTCAGAAAATATACGCATTGAGCTTTTGCCGAGATAATTTACCAACTAAGTCATCATGATTGTTAGTTGAGATTCACATTTTACTATCAACAAGTCAAACTATTAAAGAGTGTTTAAGACACACAGTTGGTGAAGGGATAAGAACAAGGGCTCGCTAACGCCCTAATACTAACACATGCTAACTGCTATCAATCACAAAAACCACTGCATCCCTAGCATGATGGGAATATACTAAATGACTCAATTTAAAGAGTTTTCATAACATAAATTAACGCTTTGTACTATCCACCCTCATTCATTTCAATAAGAACACTTAGATAAAGTGCCACAGGTGTCAATGCTAAACTTTTGCCGCAATGGGCCTCACCTGGCAACACTTTTACGTATAAGCGTGCATTCCTGTTAGTTCTGTTAACCTTATCACCCATCACTCACCTTGTGTGAAGTTATAATGGGCAGAGAAACCCATGGCCTCCAGTTCCCCATCAGCCACAAACTTGATGTACAGGTACCTCCCACTGGAGCGGACATATGAAGGGCTTTCCGGCCCACAGAAGCGCCCGAGGATTGGAGAGAACACGAATGGCCCATCCCGTACCTCGATGTGGTCGAATTTACACTCCCAGGATGGCTCGATTGAATACTTCTCATCGAAAAACAAGTCGATGCACTGTCGTGGAGAGGCTTGAGAAAGAAGAGGGGTTGAGAAAAAGTGAGATAAAGATGGGACTGTCGGAAATGTAGCCTTAAAAAACAAAGATGGAAGTCTCACCTTCAATAATATAGACACATTCTCTCTCAGGAGGGTATTTCTCTGGGTAGTTGGGTGAGGTGAAATACCCTCCCTCAGACTCTTTTATCCAGGTCCCACACTGCCCAGCTGGTGTCACACCCGAGTTGTTCTTCACTGCAAACACAAGAAAGAAGTGAAAAGACAGCAGGCAGACGAAAGTGTTTAGCACACCACTACTTTATATTTGTCATAATGTATCTTCTTTTAAAGATCTTGTAGTGCAATAGGGTTTTTTAATTGATGGTAAACTGGATTTTAGTCCAGTGGCAAACCTCCACTGGTTGCAAAGAAGAGTAGCCTGATTGTATAAAAGTCTATGATAAATTCACCAGTTTTCCCACTGCGGTCAAGCCAGTCAAGCCAGCCCGCACGTGATATTGCGGTGCGCGAATATCCTATGCATTACGGTAGAGTCCTGGAAACACTGCCTTCAAAATAAAAGCACTTACTCGGTCAATAACATATACACCAAAATAAGATACCAAACATATTAAATTAAGAAATATGTACTATATAATGTGATCAATAATTATTTAAAACAAACTACGTTTAACTACCACATTATAAATGAGTGAATGTAAAACTTAAGGAGTTTCAAAATAAAAGACCTTTGAAATATCTATTGTATGAGCTATCATCCCTTTGTTTTTAGATGAGAAAAAAACAAAAACTGTCCAGTATCAAAGACTCATCTCACTCCAGGGTGATAGCAGAACATCCCATCTAGTCACTTAGAAAAAATCAGGACATTCTGATGTATAGTTTCAAAATAAAAGACCTTTGAAGTCTCATATATGAGCTATCATCCCTCTGTGTTTAGATGAGAATAAAACAAAAACTGTCCAGTATCAAAGACTTATTTCACTTCAGGGTGATAGCAGGACACCCCATCCAGTCACTCAAAAAAAATCAGGACATTCTGATGTACAGTTTCAAAATAAAAGACCTTTGAAGTCTCATATATAAACTAGCATCCCTCTGTGTTTAGATGAGAATAAAACAAAAACTGTCCAGTATCAAAGACTCATTTCACTTCAGGGTGATAGCAGGACACCCCATCTAGTCACTTAGAAAAAATCAGGACATTCTGATATACATTTTCAAAATAAAAGACCTTTGAAGTATCTATTGTATGAGCTATCATCCCTCTGTGTTTAGATGAGAATAAAACAAAATCTGTACAGTATCAAAGACTCATTTCACTTCAGGGTGATAGCAGGACACCCCATCTAGTCACTTAGAAAAAATCAGGACATTCTGATATACAGTTTCAAAATAAAAGACCTTTGAAGTATCTATTGTATGAGCTATCATCCCTCTGTGTTTAGATGAGAATAAAACAAAATCTGTACAGTATCAAAGACTCATTTCACTTCAGGGTGATAGCAGGACACCCCATCTAGTCACTCAGAAAAAATCAGGACATTCTGATGTAGAGTTTCAAAATAAAAGACCTTTGAAATCTCTATTGTATGAGCTATCATCCCTGTTTTTAGATGAGAATAAAACAAAATCTGTCCAGTATCAAAGACTCCTTACAGAGCCCCTCCTCCAACACACACGAACGCGCACACGACCAATGAGGGCACGAGATAAGTTTGTGCACAGATGGAAGGCTGACAGGCAGGTAGGCCATCCAGTTACTTTAGCCGGGCCGGCTAAAATGATTGGTTGTGTTTTTTTACAGTACCACGGCTTCCACAGATGACATTTTTTTATGGATTTGTTGTCAAAGCACTTAAGATATTCATTGCTATCGGGATGTTAAGAGCATTCCATGGAATATAACAAAAAGTGTATCTCGAGCCGGTTTCTCAAACGTACCTACCCACCTTTAAGGAGCGTTAGCAGAAAATAGGCCTTTGAATGGTGAATAGTAGGCTACAGAACGATCGGTGTGTCAGGGTGATATAGGCTACCTTGAGTTTTTGTTTTGGTAGCTGAGGCCCCCGGAAGCTCACGTGAGAGGAGACTTGCTGCCAAAGCTGTCAGAAAACAAGAGATTACAAATAAAGTTGCAATGTGTCAGAAATGCACTTAAATGTCCAGTTGTTATAAATACAAAGTGTTTACAACAGAGCAGTTATAACCAGAGGTGGGAGAAGTACTCAGATCTTGTACTTAAAGTAGCACTATACCAGAGTGTAGGAATACTCTGTTTCAAGTAAAGCCCTGCAATCAAAATGTTACTCAAGTAAAAGTAGAAAAGTATTGGCATCAAAATATACTTAATGTACCAAAAATGAAAGTAGGCTACTCTGTATGCAGATTGGCCCATTTCTGAATATTATATCATTCAATTATAATTATTGACGTGGTTATCAAAGCTGGTAAATGTGCAGCTAGTTGTAGTGACTTTGTATACTGCAGGGTAACTTTTGGTTTAGTTGATTTTATTTCACATTATTCATCAAAATCTGCAAAGTAGGCTAACTAAAGGTAGGCTATACAATAAATGTAGTGGAGTAAAAGTGCACAATTAACCTCTGAATTGTAGTGGGGTAGAAGTAAAAAGTAGTATACAATTGAAACACTCAAGTAAAATTACCTCAAACTTGTAGTTAAGTAGGTTACTTTACACCACTGGTTATAACACACAAAACGCAACCAATCGTGTTGAAGTATTTGAGGCACAACATATGATGCAAATATAGCCCAAATAACAGGTTTTGAAACGTGTGCAGCTGTAAACTTACCGATGTGCAGCAGAAGTTTGTGCACCATTGCTGTTCCCTGAGGATGAGCAGCTCTGTTACAAATGTTTCCATTAAATAAAGTTGATCAAACGTCCATTCTTTGGGGAAAAATATCCCTCAGTCCGTCGTCCATCAGCTCCTCACAATATGCGCATAATCCGAGAGCCAAGAGTTCGACATTTCCATCTCTGTCATTCTCCCCGAGAGCTCAAAGGATTATTCCCCCGTCCACTCCGCCACAAACCTTCATGATTTTCGCTCCACCTTTAGGACGCAGTCGCATAATCTTCTCAAAACATATACGCTCATTGACAATGCTGCGAGTGCGACCCGCAGTGCGTGTGCACGTGCGTATATCCTCCAGTATTCTTTGCCTGTTTTGCCTTTCTCTGTGTCTGGCATTCTCTCCCTGTCTTATTTCTCTCCTTTGCCATTGTGATCTGAAATACATCCCATTAATCAATAATATCCATAGAATTATGTGGAAAGATTTATTAAATTGCTATGAATATTTGAGTTTAAATTCATTGCCATCTTCTAAACACAGACCATGGAAATTAGCTCCATAGGTTACTCACATTACAATACTAGTTATTGAGCAATGTTTGCAAGAAGAGCGCAAAGCTGCAGCCACTGCACAACCTTGTTGCTGCTAAAATATGGGATTAGTTTTGTTTCATAAAGATAAAGCAACACTTTCTCAGAATCAAGCAAAACTAAGAGTTTAATAGAAAAAAACGGAGTCAAGCTAAATAAATGTAATTTAAAAAATAAAACTATAAGTTGCAAAGAAATCATTTGTGTAATCATGTAAACTATAAGTCTTTTTTTTCTTCTTTGTTTTAACATGTCTTTTTGTTTGCAGTTCTCTTTGCCTCTTTCTCAATGATCAGACTTTTGCTCTCGCTGCATCTCTTCTCGTTTGCTCTCCCTCATTTTTTGTTTTTCGATTTTGACACAAACGTCCCAGGTGGGTGGGACTTTCAGGGGTGCGTCCCCATTGGTTACTCCATTTTTGAGTGACAGCCCAGTTCTCCAGCGATTGTACACGCTGGAGAGGGTGCGGGCCGTATCTCCATGTAAATCCTATCGGAATCGGATCCATCAGGCTAAACTAACCTGTAGCTGCTCCGTCCACACTCACAACAACGTCATACATACATAAATAAAGCAGCGACTGTATTCGCCATGACACAGACAGTCTGTGGTTTGTACATGTTTAACTTTTGTCCAGTTTCTGAACAGATATGAGGAGCTGTGAGCTCTGAGTGTGTGCTAACGGCTAATGTGTTGGGACATATTTGGCTCTGTCCAATCACAAACAAGAAGTGTTCTCCCTAAAGGAATACCCTTTCCGTCCAATGTGAAATGCTGTGGTGTTTTGTGAAATGCTGTTGTGTTTTCTGAAATGCTGTTGTGTTTTGTGAAATGCTGCTGCGTTTTGTGAAATGCTGTGGTGTTTTGTGAAATGCTGTGGTGTTTTCTGAAATGCTGTGGCGTTTTGTGAAATGCTGTGGCGTTTTGTGAAATGCTGCGGCGTTTTGTGAAATGCTGTGGTGTTTTCTGAAATGCTGTGGCGTTTTGTGAAATGCTGCGGCGTTTTGTGAAATGCTGTTGTGTTTTGTGAAATGCTGTTGTGTTTTCTGAAATGCTGTGGCGTTTTGTGAAATGCTGTGGTGTCTTGCACTTCAGGGCCACCGTATATTACAGCGTAATATAAGTACATAACGATTGATCTGTACATTAGCATAATGACTTGCTAGCTGCTAGCTGCTAACTGCCGCCTCGTTAATATCAAATCCATCATAATAACAAATCATTACCATGCTGTCATGAACGTGCGGTGCTGTTACGTGTACGCATATTGACGTGCTTGATGTGAACGAGCATTTTGGTTAAAGTTGCGCATGCGCTATGAGCGCACATAGCTACTTCTCAGGCATGCCAGGTAATCTGTGACGTTTCGCTCTCTCAAAAATTGGGCCATTTTATCATCATGCGCTAATGAACAACTCTCATAGGAATGAATGAGGCCCCACCTCCCACGCTGTATCCAGTTCTTATTATACATCCATGGGTGAATTATGTCCCATAATGTGCCCCCACAATAGTAACATAATGGCACAGCCAGTACAGAGCGGTTTTACAGATGGTTGATGGTTTCTTGATCGACAAAGATCTTGGTCCTCCTTTAACATCATTGGAGCGACAGTGGCTGCGAGGTAGTGCAACCGTCGTCCTTAAATTGGAAGGTTTTGCGTTCGAACCTATAGTCAACATGTCTTATATTTAACCCAAAGTTGCTTGCAATGGCAATGTTGTGTGTGATTGTGTTCTATGAATGTTAGCATATACTTGAGCAAATGGCACATTACTCTGTATGCATGGGGTATGAATGGGTGAATGATGACTGATGATGAGGGGTCATGAAGACGCTTTAAAAGTACAGTCAATTTACCATTGACTAGAAATTGTCTTCAGTAAATATGTTAATTATCTTTTATTTAAGTTTAAATTGGATATTGTGGATATTTGTCTGGCATTTTAGAGAGCCCTAAAGGTCCCCTATCATGCAAAATGCACTTTTAGATTTTCTAATGTTCTCTCTTTTTTAAGATAAGGACCCAGTATAAGCACTTCTCTAACAGGGCTGTAATAGAGGGGTATGAGGCATGGCTACAATGGTGATCTGTCTGGTGTTTTGAGCAAAACACTTCATAAACATTTTTTTTTAAATCTGAGACCTATAATGTATGCCTAAAAATAGTATAATAGGAGACATTTAATTTGAACTGCATGTAGTGCAGTAACATGATACGTTTATGGTCTTATTGCCATGAATCACTTCATGTATTAAAGCTGTCTTAAAAGTCTAAAGTCTATGCAGTTGTAAAGCTGAGGAAACCACTGCAGGCCTGCTTGGGCGGCTGTGGCTCAGTGAATAGAGTGATGGACTTCGAATCAGGGGGTAGCAAGTTCGAATCAGGGGGTAGCAAGTTTGAGTCCCACTGCAGTCAGCATGTCGTTGTGTCCCTGGGCAAGACACTTCACCCCAAATTGTTCCTGTGGGGATTGTCCACAGTACTGAATGTATGTAAATCGCATTGGATAAAAGCGTCTCTAACAAATGACATGTAATGTAATGCTTGGTTCAGCTCAAACCACTGATGCATGAATAGCTTGAACTGAAATGATAGTTGACATCCACGAGGTGGCAGCAGATGCTTGTGGAAGAGTTCAAACAAATATTTTCATTCATGTTGAAAATATCCTCATGCTCATCAAAAGCATATCAATGTCGAATTGAAGTGCACAGAATAATTGCTAATGATCACTTGAAACAATGAACTGTGGCATTACGCAATTATTAACTATAAGTGGAATTTGGGTGTCTTTTGCTGAATTACAAATGACAAACATAAAACAAGCAGCTAAAACATGGCATGTATATGTACATTTAAGTTACTTATTTTACAAGGAATATTTAAAATTCAAGTTCTGTTCAAATCAACAGGATAAAAGAAAAAGTATAAAACATGTTAAGACCAGGGGAAAAAGGGCTGTTTTTCTTAGTGTTGTTTAAGGTCTTAACAAGTCTGCAGGTTTTAAATCTTTGTGAAGGACATTGTACAACAAAAATAAGACACTCTACAGAGACAACAAGAAAGAGGAAAGAAAGGTGAAATAATAATTAAAAAATAGATATATATACTATATGCTGTAGTCTGTGCATGTGCTGCCAAACTATAATGCTGCAACCAGGAGCACAATTTTCATGTTGTATATATCAAGTATGTTTAAAATAAGAATAATAATAGATAAAACTCAGCTGGCAAGACTACAGTCAGAGAGGAGCGGACAATGACCCATCTGGCTGAACAATAAGCAGTATCCACACTTAATAAATAGCTAGCATGCCGCCCGTTTTTGACAATGTGCTGACCAATTCCATTCGTGACATTTTAGGAGCAAATGTGCAAAACATTCTCCTGTATCTCACTTTGAATTATTTGGTCAGAATTTGCTCTGGAAAATTCGGATGTACCTTTACTTAATAACAAATTGGTGCTTAAAGATTAGTTTAAATATAAATGTTTAACCTATACAATCAAAAGCTACAGATATTTTTGCTAAATAATTAATTATCATTATACATTTCTCTAAATAATTGATCTCCAGTTTTTTTTTTGATTAAAATGTGCACTGTTATAACACCTGCATGTGGTATATCACACTGCTATATATACTGTTGTATATATACGTTCACTTGTATTCACATCGAGTTCAGCATGAAAAGACTGTTGGTGTGCACATTCATTCGTTATTTATTAGCTCTTATTTGCAGTGTTTCAATATGTTTCCCCTTTTTGCGTTTGTTTGCAAAACCCATTTTTAAAGGGGCCTTATTATGCTTTTTGGGTTTTTACCTTTCCTGTATTGTGTTTTATAGGTTGTTGTGCATTTAAATGGTCTGCAAAGGCTAAAATCCAAAACTTCCCTACAGAGGGAGTTTCTTCCCCACACACTCCCCCCCCCCTGCCTTAAACAGTCTCTTTGTTTACTTCTGTTACATAATGACATCACTATGTAACACTTGCGCTTCTATTGGCAAGCGCTCCAACCCATTGTACGTGATAGGCCAAGGGGTTGGACATCTCTTAGTGGTTGACCAATCACAACAGAGCCAGCCAGCTTACCAATCACAGAAGACTGAGCTCTGGTTTCAGACAGAGGGTGAAAAGAAGTGCTGCAGCACAGCAAGTATGAGAGCTTTTTTAACATGAAAGCATGGAAATATGTTATAGTAGAGGCACAAAATACAAATATTAACCTGAAAATGAGCATGATTATGTCCTCTTTAAAGAAATGATCTTCTTTGTGCTGAAAGACAGTCAGAACAGAGTATGTTGGAGTTGAGGAAGCTTAGAGAGAGAGAGTAAGAGAGAGCACACACAAAAACACAGCCCACAAACTTTCACAAAATCTAGTGTATGCAAAAGCAGATGAATCAGTGCTTTGTGGTTGTGTCGCAGGGGAATACTGGCCACCCTGCTGGCTTCTCACACACAGCAAAAGACCTGATGTGATCCTAAAGTTCAGCCCTCAAGGAAAATCAACACAACACTCACAGATGCTCATGAATGGTGATGTTTGATGCATTTGTGCAACTAATTATTACTAAATAATCACCTTTGTTATGTTA